GCGAGCAGAAAGGATATGCGATGCAGAAGATTTGAAGGGAAAAGAGGGGTTGCTGAAACAGAAGAAAGCCATGGTAAGTACTGTATCAACCGGATTTCTGTTTCCCTTAAGTTTCAAGAGTGATGAAACGGATTGCAAGACGCCTGAAGAAGTATGATACAGTACGAATTAAAAAGTACTTGACTCTATTAAAGGGAGTCTATTGGTTATTATGCTGTTCTGAGCAGTAACTTTTTAAAATAAATCATTCAAAATACTTCAAAAAGATTTTAATTTATTCATTACTCTAGTGCTGTTAAGAATTATAATTGTTTTTAACAATAAATGAGTTAATTTAATACCAGGCTTTGACCTGTTATTGATAATTGCCAATGAATTAGTTAATCAATTAATTTACATTTTGATTGACTATACTGTTCTATCTACAGAATTTTCAATAAAGTTTCAATGAAATCAAACCCATTTAAAAGTTAATGAATATGTTAATAAACATGAGTACGAGTGAGATTGATTTCTTTACAATCTACATTGAACTTTTTTCTATTAAGAATTCTGTTACATGAACAGAATCGAATGATTTCAAAAGCTACTAAAATAGGGTAATAAACATAGGAATGTTTTAAAATTGTGCGCAGAAGTTTATATTAACCGATTGTTAGTATGTAAGTGAAGATGTTGCTTAAGGAAATGAATGCGCTGAAATAATTACAAGACATTATGCTGCAATGTGGAAGTAGGCGTAATAAAATATGAGATTCTTATTCGAAGAACATCCAACATGTCAATGGCACAAGGACGTAGGAGACGTGTTTGGCTTTGGAGCCGACAACGTCCACTTTGAAGTAGATGACTTCACGATACTAAACAAAATTGGCCGTGTTCCAAATGTTTAATTATAATTTATAATAAATTAAATTATTTCTAAAAATACCAAAACATCAGTGTTATGAAAATAACAAAAATTGTATCGTGTTACGTGTTATTTCTTGTCGTGCTTGTGGAACAGATGGTGGTAAGTGAACCACCGATGATCATTATGTAATTTGTGAATGGTTCTGTACAATGAAGAAATATTTCAATACAGATGCATACGCGATGGTTGTCGTTTGATTGCACGATTACATTTACAAGCCACGACTATCATCATCACAAGAGAAGAAGTGGAAGCGTTTTACTCAAGTGTGTGTCAAGACTTCTATAAGATCGGTATCTTCACCAATAAGTTAAATCTATATCACGCCGTTTAAATTAATTTTTACATTAAATAAATTTTATTCTAAAATAATTTGTTATTACAAAGGTATTAAAAGACGTAAAATTTAACAATTTACACGTTTTAATTGTTGAAGATTAATAATCGATGTTGCGTATAGATTGAAAATGTCATTTCAAAACTGAAGATCATAAAATTTATTCAAATATTTCAATAACTTTAACAATAGGTTATTAGAAATCAATATTTATTTGATTTGAAAATCGTAAATTCACATGTATCCTTGTGTCTTTTTATATAACAATCTTATATCCGTATTTATTTATTTTTTTTACTGTCGAATTTTATTTTTATTATGCATTCTTCGAAAATAATTGAAATAAAAATTGGAAATACCCCTTTAAAAAAAGTTCGTAAAAATAATTTAAAATTAATTTAAAAGTTATTGTTTTTGCGGGTATAATTAAAAAAATAATTTAATGCCATTTCAATTAGTAGCGTCATTTTATTATGGAATTTGCCAACCCAGGAAACACCCTGTTATTATAAAAATTCCGTTTAAATTCGTTCCGGTCTCATAAATCGACATTTTATGGGTTCCATCGTAAACATTAACCTGCGGCGATCGGATTTTTTTTAAAGATCGATACTAGAATTGGTAATTTATTTAAAATACATAAATATTATGCAATTAAGTTGTTGTGAATTAAAGTTTTATGCTACTTCGCTTTTTTAAACACACGATAAACATCCTTTAAGAATTGAAATAACAAAACGATTAAGTAATCGAAGGCAAATTAGTGCAATAAAAACAGGTGTGTGAGAGCGTATAAATTTGATATTAATAAATACTAGATATAATGGAGACATTCAAGAATGCAGTTTTAATGGAAAAAATTTTGTGTTAAATGTCAAATGTTGTAGATGTATTAATAAACGTAATCTAAACGTAAATCAATAATTTCATTAGAATTTTTAATAATTTTTAGTCACCGAAGAATATATTAAAGATATATTAGTTATTACGATGCAATTGTAAGGTTGGTAATCTTAATATGTATCTACTGGGTTATAACATAACGATATCCGTCTTCCATATTCCTAATCTCCATTCGCTTCTGTTTTTACACGTCTCTTCCTCCAGCTTTCTCTCATATGCGTATCTCCATCAATATCTCTTCTCCTAATTTTCCGTGGTTTTCCTCTTCTTCTTCCTTGTGGTGTCTAGTGTAGTACTTTCTTTAGTGGTCAGTCTAAACAATGATTTGTACATGTACGTACCATCCAAATTGGACAGTTTATCTATATTATAGATTCTATATATAGATTATATGTCTTATTTATGAACCCTTCCAGTTTAGATTTTCTAACAGCTTCTTCAATAATCTATTTCTGTGACGTTTGGCATTCTTTCTATCTTATCGCTTATAGACCACACAGATATTCACATGTATTGGTTATTATTCTTCTAATTATTGAGTTGTCTATTTTGTGTTTCTTTTATTATATCTTTATTTCACGGTATACTGTTTAGCATGGATACTGCTGTCCTACTCTCCAGATTTCTTTCGGCTATCGTCTCTCTTTCGATATTTTTACAAACCGGTTTTTGTATGAACAGCAATCTTGCTGTTCTCCTTTAGTATGTATGTATTTAGTTTTTTGCAAATTAACCTCTAAACTCCATTGATTACACTTTTCAATTAGTTTACATGTCACATATTCAGCGTCATCAATATCCTGTGTATTCACAACTTGATCGTCAGCAAATGCCAAGTAGTAGTGTTGATGTAATTAGTATGCACATTGTTTGGCGTTTTCTTTTGCATATTAGCAATACACTTGCTAAATAAATAAACAGTGTTGGCAGGGTACAAAAAAATTGTTTTCAAAAAGCTGTTAAGGTAGGTTTTCTATTATTATTTCAAAGGAATTATGTTGACAGATTGAAATATATGTGTTGATTTGACGAAATGATCTCTCTTAAGCTCTTTTGCTGTGTTGTGATTGCTAGAGTTACCCACTGATTGGTTTACTTGATAGGATTTAAAGAGCACTTTTTGCAAACACCTGTTTTTGCCCATTCATCATTGTCCATTCCATAGTTATAGTTAGTATTCAAAACCTACACCTGTTAATTTTCTCCATTATAAGGTTAAATAAGAGTGGCTTTCTCTGTTAAGAAAGAATATTGAATTTTGTTTTAAATGTTGAACCAGTTTCTTTTAGTAAAACGACATCGTCAAAAACATTTTCCTAAACCTAATTTGCAAGAAGTATGTATACACCTCAATTCCATAGAGCAAGTATGGGATTTACTCTGACCCAAATTTGGAAATTATTGATTAAAAATAAAAATGATTTAAAAGCTGCACTGTTAGTAGAATATTTATCTAAAACTAACAGCTAACTTAGTTAATTCCAAGCCTCGAAGATTACCATGAGTTCTAGCTGCAAAGGGAGGTCCTATCAGGAGGTTTCTCTCATGAAATTTGTTTAGAGTGCCAAAGTAAGGTTGCAATATCTTAACAACTCCTTTTAGTACTGTTATGGTTTCAAATCACATTTATAAACCTTAACTATCATACATATATAACCTATATATAAAGTTATATAAAGTTTTATTGGGTTATACAAGTTTCAAAATACGTACTTTATGCCTATTAATATTTACGTAATTCATTTCTGGTGGAATAATTTTAGCAGGATTGATGCAAACACTTAACATTTTCCAATCCATATCTTGTAAGGTTGTTGATGTTTATTGTTTCGCAAAATCTTTTCCCTTTGCGCCAAGTTCATTTTCTGTTTTCGATTCTATCTCATCATCACCATGTTATCAAGCTTTTTTGAACTCAACTCATATTATTAATACGTATACAGAAAAATATTTATAAATTAACACAACTTTTAATTCAATGGATAGCAAGAATCTGAATACTATGTGGCGCAATTTTCCCAAGGTAGGGTTCGCTCCTTTTCATTACTACTGCACAGATTTGTGATTTTATGTAACAATAATTAACATTATTGAAAATCATTTTTTGAAATCATGATAAAAGAAAAGTTTAGTATATTTGTAGCAGTAATGTTTTATTAAATGAGTTGTGAATCTTTGAAAAAGGCTGATAACAAGTAAAAGGCGCGGGTGATGTGTTATAAAATAGTGTTCCATACAACAATATTTACAACATTTCTGTTATTTTCAAAATTTCTCTACTCATTTAATAAAACACAAATATTTAAAAACTAACTGGTTTTCAGTAATCTCAATTTTTTTGTTGTATTTTCATCATGAATATAATTGAGAAGATTTAAATAAGTGTGACCGTTCAACTGCGAAAATTACATGCACATAATTACATTGGCTTTCAAACACTCTGTAACTTTACACGTACGTAATTATTCATCTAAAAGCTACCGTTTAACTCCCCATCATTATCGCAATCTATCTTTACTCATATTGATATCTCAACCTCATTTTATAAATAGTAAAGATGAAATTAGCCATAAACAGATTTTTGATTATAACAAAATTTATAACCAATTCTTAAACGTTTTTCCGTTCTTTGCGACCTCTAAACGAAACAGTAAACGTTTGAAATAAACGACGATAAAACACGTTGAATTACACGACAAAAAAAATGATTAGAAATTATATATAAATTGATGAACAGTTTCTCAGCGGATTAATTGTTGAGCACGACTGCATCTCTCGACCGCTTAAAGGTCGTACCATTTGTCTGTGGAATACCAGCGATGTTACATTATTACACATTGGTGTGCGATGTGGTAGCAGCTCTGTTCGGTTTTAACCCTACCACTACTACCACGTTGTTGGTTGGATTCCCTCTACCCGTGCTAAACGTATAAAATCGAATGATATGCTAAAGAAGTTATCTTTTTGCTGGCGGGCTTTTATGTGCTTGGCTCTCGGATTACAACACAAATAATTTTTTTAATTTTCCCTTAAAAGAAAACATAATAATATTACATTATTCACTACCGTTCTTCATCATTGGATGCGGTGTCTATTGTTAACGTGTTTTTAATTTTTTCTGTGCATCAAAATGATAATACTGAAGGTAAGAATTTAAATTTTTTATTTTATTTGCTTAAATAGTTTGCAACGTTCATTTCAATTCTGATCAAACCTTTATAAATAAAATATATCATTTGTTACTTAGTTAATTTACTTACGTATTAACATTACGTTTTATACATAATCTATCGCATTAATACGTGCAATTAAATCCTAATTGCAGTTTTTGTAATCGTATTCGGGAAGGTTGAGTAATATCTCTGTATAAAACTATTTGTATTTGTATGCTAATAGGAAACGATAAAGCTTTCGTATTAATTTGCGGAACCATCATCGTCACATACTATAGTTGTAAATAGATATTGATGAGTTTGTAATTTTTTCTTTACCTATCAACAGTTAATTTTAACTCTTTTAGCACATTACATTCCAAAGACTTAATTGCTTGAAATAAATGATAAATAAAATTGTATTTTTTATATTGACTTTTAAAATTTATTTTATAGATTTTATATAATTTTAATGAATTTTCTGTTTTACTAAATCAATCAAAACTAACAAATGGACTTCTCGATATTTCCAAAAAATCATTTGAAAAGTTTAGCAAATAAGATGTTGATCTGAGAAGATCATGGGAAATATTTATTGCAAATCTTTAACATTTTGCAGACTCATTAATGTGTGTTAATTTATTATCACGAAAAAGAACAACCCAATTTTAGATATAATAATACCCAATCCAAGTTGCAATGAGAGCAAACGTTTCCAATAAAATAATAAACAATTCATCGAGAAACGTCTTTCTATGAAAACATACAATTTAAACATAAAGGAACAATCTTATCCTCAATGTACTGGTCTATAATTCGATTGCCTATCAACGCATCATCAAATTGTTTATTACAAAATTATTTCACGTTGTATGAAGTTTGAAATCCATATCGCGGAAAATACTGCACAATTTTAATAATTCGCCTGACGATGGATTTTATCTCGAAATTCGTCCTACACAAATAATTTGTTTTCAAATACAGGATAGAAGTAATTTTCTTACTTTTTATTATTTAACCACTTTATTATGGTCTTGCTATTTGATCTATTACATCATCAAATTGACAGTGTATAAGATGTAGTCCTCCATATTTAGGTGTATTAAGGTCGGCGTAATATAAAATTTTAACTAAGCATCTCACAAGCAAATGTAACTCATTAGTAGTAGTTTAGCTGATGATGGATTTTGTCTCGAAACCGGTTCTGTACAAGAAAAGAATTTGTTTAAAAAATGAAGATTGAGGTAATTTTATCACCTTTCACTATAATCATTTTATTATTGCCTTGCAACATCGATTTCATCAATTTCTATTTACTCTATCACATCTTCAAACTAAAACTGTATGGGAGTTAGTGGTTCTTAACGTTAAGTTCTTATATTCCTTCGGAGTTCTTTTTTTTCTTTTGATACCACCATTATTCAAATCAGAATTTGGTGACCAAATAAGTTATTATAAAACCCGTTTGAGACCATATAATAAATCGCAAACAAATTTTCTTAGGATTTTGCTTACTTTTGAGATGATCTTTTCGCCCACTAATGGCTTGCATGTCTAATAGTGTACATTTGTTGTAAAATCATATTTACATCATGCTGTCCATCACCAGATGCTTTACTTTTGTAAATTTGATGCCCAATTTAAATCACCTTTCTTCATTCCATTGTGGAGAATCTTTCTCCTTTTGCGCTTAATTGTTATGAATCTGTCTCTGCTTGAATCATTGAACCTTTTTATGAGTACAACCTCATTTCTTATTGTGTTGAAATGACGAAAATAATTGTCGGTTGCAATATTACGCTTCCTTCCATGTAGTGGCTGAAATATGTTTTAAACCGTTTCTGTCTGGAGGCGATTTTATGTATATTCTACATCTACGCTAACAGAATGTTGTAAAGGTATATAATATATCTCACATTGGTCTATAAAACAGTGCTATATCATCTAGGCTTGTTGAACTGTCAACAACGTTCCTGGCCTAAGGTTTTCTAAATTACTAATATTGTAGACTTCACTAGATTTTTTTAACATTCATCCTTGATCTATTTCATACTATTCCATTTTCTCAGAATCATTAACAACCGACATCATCATCCCGGTTGACTCCAAAGTAGTAATTAATAAAAATTTACTGTTATTGTTACTAGTAGATCTGAAGTTCTCCTCGCGCTTGAAACATGACGCATTTATGAAGATAGGGTAATTGAGAGATTTAATATGTTGTTGCCAATTTTAAGTGCTGTAAGATTTATGGTTGAAGTTATTAAAATTGTACAAAGTCTCCTATAGGTCGAGAATTTAGCCTAAACACATTATTATTGGCAAAATCGCACATAAAGCTTGCGATCTTTGCGAAATACCTGGCTAGAAAAGACTGCATACTTTGTTTGTATTACGCCATTAAGATTAGGTATGGTTGTGTAGTAAAGTAAGTAAATGAAACAAAGACTGGGCACAAAATCTAAATAACGGAAATCTTTCCTCGTTCTTATGATGAAGGTTAGGTTGAATATACATATATTTAATCATAAAGTCAATGTTATTATTTGATGATTAAGCAGAATTACTGCAGAATTTTGCTAAATTATTGCTTCCTTCTTCGTTATAAATAAGCCTGAAATCAGAAACATGAAAATTCGTCGATTATCAAAAATGTGTTCATAAAAGATGCCATATTAATATTATAAAAGATTTGTGCTTCAAAAATATCTATACTTTGAAAAGTATATCCATAATCCTGGTCCATAGTGAAATCTATTTGATTAATATTTAATAAAATCTATTCAACCACAACATTGAAAGCAGGATTATGCCGTATTGTTATTAAAAATTTGCATCTTCATACTTTAAAGTCCTATCAACTCAATAATTTCTACAAACCATAAGATATAATATTGGTTGTGTCACTTTTTAAGATGCAATATATTCTGGAGGAATGATTAGTATGTTTTTGAAGATGCTTGAACAATAAACAAGTCAACACCACTTAATATTGTGAACGTAAAAAATGATGGTCTTCTATAATGGAGAACATAAAAAACTATCCAGTATTAAAAATGTTAATTTTTAATTAACAATTTTTAATTTTTTAATTATGTTGTTAATTTAAGTTACATCTGGCAATTTTGAAGTTATGAAGTTGTGCAATAAAATATTTACAACGAATTCCTATTATTTAAAAATAAATGTATAAATGTTGAAGCAACAAAGAGAAATCGATAATGAAGTAACAGAGTTATTCGTGTGATTAAATTTTCCCAAATTCTCATTATTGTCTTTGATTAAGTATAGGTATTTATAGTAAAAAAGTGATAAAACTTATCTAAACATTTCAAATCTTCGAAATAGTTCTATATTATTATAGCGGAGATGTGTTGTCCAATTTCTTCAATGAAAAAAATTCAAATTGCCGTTTTAACAATAATATTTCGTCAGGAAATTTTATGGACTCCACTATTGAAGATCACTGCAAGTTCAATTTCTGTTAAATATTCGCATAGCTCTTTCCCATTCACTCCAACTGAGAAAAAGCTGCAACCCTTTATAGTCTTTTATTATTAGAAAGTGATTTTGAGGTCAAACCTGATTAATATGCCTAATTAGGAAAATACTGCGAATTAATCATAAAAAATGTGATGAGATGTTTGCAGGGTTAGAGATTCTAGTCATTTTTAATTTTCCTTTTGGTGTCTGGATCCAGACTAACATTATCATCGTCTTGTTGCATGGAAAGCAGAATTAAAAGCGAGGATAATTCCATCGTCTTAAGAATGGTAAAAACGCTCTTTAGAGTGTGCAATTTAAATAGATAATAAAGTCTCTTTCGATCTTTAGCAGATATTAGGTAATAAAACGCCAAAAATAGGTACTGAAGATTTACGATCTTTTTTAATAACTAAATCAAGAGAGTTCGGTGAGAAAATTTTCCAAATTTAGTTAAAACTCGTTAAATATCTTAATATTTTTATCTTGTTCAAAGGTTAAATAAAACTAAAAATTAATTAAAGAGAAAGATACAGCTATAAGAGAAATTATAGATGATATAACTTAAATTATAAAATGTGTTATGCATAAAATAAATCCAGGATCTCTCCTTATTAGAAAAAATCTTTATATCCCACACGAATACAACACAACAAGATCACATCAAGAAGTATGATCTCATGAAAAACCCACAATTTCTTTACTTGTCGATTACTATCATCATGTTAATATATGGAATCGAAGTAATTATTTATCTCGATTTAAAGCGAATCTAATGAGATCACTCCAAAATCCGTTAAAGAATCAGATTTCTCCTTAATGCGAAAAATCCATATCGGTTAAGACGATTACCAAACAATCCTTCGAATGAGTATGATCGAAATCGCGAGTTTGAAAAAAAAATCGCATCTTTAACTCAATTACTTTTAACGTCCACCAATTATATCCAATTATCGGTCTTTTGTAAACTATCAACGTTGATTATGAATTTATTGGAACGATGACAGCTGAGCTAATCATAAATCTTCAACAAATTTCAATACATGAAAACGAGGTATTTCTTCTTCGTCAATTTGTTTTTTTTATTCACCTTGGAATACCTGAGATGTGTTCTAAGAAAAGAATTGCAACAATAACTAAAAACGGTGAGAGATACTTCTCAATGTAATTTTAGAATTGCTAATGAGATCATTTAATTTCAATGGTATCAACTTACAAGTCACATAAAAAAAGTATAGATAGGTTTCTTTATGTTGTGGTTACGCAGGTGCTTCATAAATTTGTAAGAAATAAAATTTCCTGTTTGTCATTTAAGGATTTAAATGAATAGTTTTAAATTATCGTGGAAATTCTATCATTATTAACATAATCTATAAACAGTTTTTAAGCAATCAATTTTATTGCAGACTTGATTCTTTCCTTACATAACTTGTAACAGGATATACGTCTTGTAGATCTTAAGGAGCCAATTTTTGGCCAATCAAAATGTACATCACGTCCTCTTGTAGCT